TGTCAAACTCTGTATTAAGATTTTCTGTACGCTGTCTCATTCAATCCTCTCCATTCACTATTAAGGGAATACTATCATAATCCATTTCAAAGATTAAGTCAAGTCATTTCCCCAACTAACAGTGAAAAACTGGCAAAACTGGAACCTGACCAAGAAACCGTACTCTTAACTATAGGTGCACTATAATTTATAAACTTGCCCAAATTTGACCTCAAGGTTACTAGTCTATGATTTACAAAACTCACCTGTCCTTTATTAGAAAGTCAAAATTTTGCCCATCTCCTTTATTTCTGCATGTCTTTTCTCTCCCCAAGATACAAAGATCCTCAACACTATTTCACATGCAAGCTCCTTCCAGCCCAAGGAACATAACTCAAGCAAGAGAAGTGAGCTAAATGACCCACCTAACCCTCTCTCTATGAAGGACTTCCTTTTGCAATGCCCACTGGTCACTCTATTTGCCCCGCTGGCCCCTCCGCCTTGCCTTCACACTCCACGTAATGAAGTCGCCTCATTCTTACAGTATTGACCTTTGATCACATTAGCTTTCCTGAAACTTTTTTTTTTTAATTATTACCTACAGTTCTTTTTTTTTTTTAATGTGGACCATTGTTTCTGTTTGGGTTTTCGGGTGAGAGGCATGTGGAATCTTAGCTCCTTGACCAGGGATTGAATCTGTAACCCCTGCACTGGAAGGTGATGTCTTAGCCACTGGATCACCAAGGAAGGCCCTCCTGGCATGATTCTTAAAAGTTGGTGCCAAGCAACTATATATATGCCAATGATTTATTTATTTATTTATTTTTTAATGCCAATGATTTAAAAATAAATAAAGCTGGTGTCACCCTCATAGACTCACTTTCAGCAACGCACCCTTCTCTTTTTGAGAATCTGAGTTTAGACTGCTTTCAGTGGGAGCACACCAGGTCCTGCAGGGGCCTCCTCTTTTTTTCGAGTTACGATCCCTTCTCCAAACTGCCTTTTCGCTTTCTAGGTCTTTAGAGACTTCTTTCTCCCAGTCTGATGACATGGAATACCACCTAGTCCCTAAACTGCTCAACATCTTCCTCCTTAAAAACTTGGTATCAGGAACTCTAAAATTTCAAGGTCCTTTTCTCCCAGTGGAAGTATTTTGGACTTGCCAACTAATTATTTCCTACTGTAACAGTTAGGTCCAGAGTAGCAGTTTCCATTCCACTTCCTCAATCTAACAGGTGATGACAAGGGTCAGCACCATTTCTTTTTAGAGAATTGCAACCTGCAGGTGGCTAAGTAACTGATCTTACCACAACCTAATCTGAAGCCACGGCTGCTATAATTACTATTTCCCTGGCTCCAGTCTGGCCTCCATTATCAATCCTTAACAAAGCTGCGACAGCCTGTTTTCTAGGCCCCAAATCTCATCACATCACTTACCTGCTCAAAAATCTCCCCTGCTAAAATAAACTATATACTAAAATCCTAGGCATAGTTTTAGAAAGCAATAATCTGGCCCCAACCAGTGTTTACTATTTTATCTTTGACTAAATCCCCATTAGCACCTGGGACAGAATCTTGCATAATCCACCCTAAGCACCTGCTGTAAGCCACTATCATGTCCATGCCTCAAGTTCGCCCCTACTGTTCTCTGCACTGGTAATCACCTTCATCATCTCTTCCCTTTGGAAAAATCCTACTCCATCTTTACTGTCTGACTTAAATGACGCTTCTGCTATCAAATCATCCCCAAATTCTACTGCCGCCCCAACAACGCAGAATTAGCTGTTCTTTCAGCTGGATTCCCATAATGGATTCCTACCATTTATTGTGGTTCCATATCATACAGTCATTTGTTTACACCCCTCTCCTCCTGTGTGTGCGCTAGTCGCTCAGTCATGTCCAACTGTTTGCGATCCCTATGGACTGTAGCCCACTAGGCTTCTCTGTCCACAAAATTCTCCAAGCAAGAATACTGGAGTGGACTGCCATTCCCTTCTCCATAGGAACTTCCTAACCCTGAAGTCCCCCTCGGACCAGGGACTGAACCCTGGTCTCCTGCATCACAGGCTGATTCTTTACCATTTGATCCACAGGGAAGTCCTCTCCTCCTAGTTCTATGTATCTATCCGGGGCAAAAACTGTATCTTATTTCAGTGTTTATCAAACATTAGGACCCAATCCATCACAAATGGATAAATCATTCAGTGAGCCACACAAGTTCTTTAATAGATTAGAACAGAAGACATCAGAGGCCACTGAGCAAAAAAACAATTAGTATCATTTCGAGAAACTTAGTTACATGTATATACAGTGGGTTATGACAAAATACATTTCTTACTGTGAGTTGAAGTTAAGTTTGAAAAACTCTTAACTTTTATCTCCAGTGCATACTGCCTAATACACAGCAAGGCCTCAGTGGCTAAGACTCAGTGCTCCCAATGCAGGGGGTCTGGGTTTGAACCCTGGCCAGGAAACTAGATCCCACACGCTGCAACTAAGACCCAGCAGAGCCCAATAAATAAATAAAAAAATTTTTAAAAGAGAAAGTGGTTGCAGAGGTAAAGTATGTGAGAGTCCACGCTGAGAACACATTATCACCCTCTCCTTATGGCCAGACACGCTTTAGTGTGCCCCCACAGTCACGTCACTTCTGTCCCTGTCTCCTCATCTGCAATAACCAACCTTCTCACTGGGAAAATTCAGTCACTGCCATAGAGGAGTATAGCCTTTGAATCCGGTCAGTCTTTTAAACTGTCTAACCTTCCAATGCTAATGTTCCTTCCGAAGTTTTACCTGCATGAAACTTCTGTACCATGCAAGAAAACTCCGTCCCATGACTCTGCTCTCTCTCAAGATATGAGCCTATTACTTCTCCTCCATCCCCCAGTTTTTAAAAACAAGAATCAACTCTGCCTCCATTCCATCTCCCACATCTTCCTAAACGGTAATTAGCTTCTGTTCAAGTTGCTAAGGAATCCCAACTTGCCCAAAAAGTGAGTGGCCCTTTCTCAGTTCTGAGCCTCAACTGCTCTACAGTCGCTTCTGTGGAAGGCGGCACTAACCTGTATGCTCCTTCACCTCTACTGAACTTACACGAAAAGCACTTGAAATCAGGCCTAGCTCACAGCTAGCAGCATGTAACCGTTAGCTGGTATGTTATCACTCATTCCTCCTCTTACCCCTGAGAGAGCGATTACTATGCACGATTCCGTCCTCAGCGGTTTCCTTTTCTTCGCCTCCCACTTTCTCCCTGGGTCTTATCATCTACCCACAAGGCTTTGATTAGCTTACCTGTAGGAGTATTATAAATCTCTCTCATAAGCACAAACCTCTCTCCTAAATCCCAGGTCAACACTTGACATACCCAATGTTAATTGTCTTTTCCAGATGTTCTTAAATGTTTATGAATAGCACCAAGATCGAGTCCCAACCCATCATTTTTCACTCCCCTCTCTTCCTCACCACCAGCACCACCACCACCACCATGATAAGCAATCAATTTTCAAACTGTCAACTCTACATTCTCTATGTCTTTTCTTCCCATTTTCTAGTTCAGATCTTCTGTATCCCTCACCTACCCTAGACCTCTAAGCTGGTTTCACCACTTCCAAGACTCCACCCCACACTGTTGTCAGATAAACCTTTTTTAAAAAAAATCATAGCTCTGACTGAGCTACTTAACAGGTCAAAACCTTTTAACGCATCTGCTCTACTTTCCTTAAAAAGCAACACTTCTCAGCTGTACATTCAAGAGCCCCCACAGATCAGACAGCAACAACCCTCTCTTCACCTTCTCACATTATTCACAGTACCCACAACCCAGCCAAGCAGGAAAATACCTTTAGGATTCATTTCACTGACACCTTAGCGCAAACATATTCCTAAGAAGCATTCCTCCCAGTATTTTCAACATTTTGCCAGTCTTAGATATCCACTCAAAACTGCAAATACTCCATAGGTTTTGTTTTTCTTTCTGGATTACCTTTCTTACTCTGCCCCAAAGATATTCACTCCCTCTTTTAGATGTCCTTAGCCCTTTGCTGTTGTTTAGTGGCCAGTCATGTCTGATTCTTTCGTGATCCCATGGATTGGCATTTCCCAGGCAAGAATACTGAAGTGAGTTGCTATTTCCTTCTCCAGGGGATCTTCCCTACCCAGGGATCGAACCTGAGTCTTCTGCATTGCAGGCGGATTCTCTCTCTACCGCTCAGCCACCAGGGAAGCCCTTAAAAGCAAAAACCACTCCTTAAAAAGCTTTATAGTCCTTAGGAGCGTCAGCCTATCTTCTGAATTTAATTTTTTTAAAATCAGAAACACATTAAGTCACTTAGAAGTTCTTGAAAACCTGACATCCTTAGGCTATGATGCTAAACGTTACCTGATGAAAACCCAGAAAGACCTACAGTTTTTAAAGAGATTGAGTAAAGAGTGGGGAAGAACTGAATCAGAGTGTGTGACAAGAGAAAACGGCCTTCCAGCTCACTGCTCAGTGTTTGACACAGCGTCCCTGCTAAGTAACATAAAGCCAAGGCAACTGGATTCCAGCGCCAACTGTACCATTTACTTGCTTAGCGCCTTCAGGTCAGCAGCCTCTGAGAGTTTTTCATTTACTCAATGAGACACTGCTACTACAAAACACACAAGTTCCCCTCCTTAGGCACCCATGTTTCACCAAACCCTGACAAGTGCTCAGAGCCTCACCTCACTTCCTAGGTTCCCGCCCCAGCGTAACTCTGGTCCTGTTCTGGGCTCTGCAGCACCTGGGACCCCTGTATTCGAAAGTAACTCGCAAACTACCTGTCCCTGTCGTTCCACAACTGAACTGCAAAGCACGCCCGAAGAAAGCGACGCACTCCGCTAGGGCAGAAGCCCGACTTCCCGCCCCAGTCGCCACTCCAGACCGAGGCGCCCACAGATCCGTCCAGTGCCGGGTCCCTGAGGCTGCAGGCGCGTCCCCTCCGCCTGGGCCCCTACTTTCCAGGACCGAAGCTTCCCCCGAACGCAGCCACAGCCCTCCTCACCCAGCAACTCGAGGTTCATGCCTGAGGACTCCGGCCGCCCGGCCTCGGCTCACCGACGACACCCGCGCCCGCGCCCGCCCGCGAAGCCCGCGTCCGAGTGGGGGGCGCCGCAGAGCGCCGGCGCAGGCCCTGGAGACTCCCTGCCTCAAAGGACCCCGCGGCTTCCGCCGCCTGCCCTCGCTTCCGCCTTCGTTTCCGGCGGGCTGCCCACGAATATGCCTAACCAAAAAGAAGACGGATCACCCTCGGAACCACTTGACTGTGGTATTTTTTAAGGAACGAAAATGCTGTCGTCACTCGGTTTTTCCCACGTGCCAGAGTTTGGGGCTGTCCCCGCGAGGCGCGAGGTAAGTGAGTTAGACGGTTCAGGCACGGACTTAGACGACTCACCCGCCCTTGCTATGTGCTCCGCGCGCCGTCCCGGCGGGGTGCCTCGGCCGCGACTGAAAGGTTCCGACTGGGTGCCGCTGAAGTAAAGGGGCCTGCGGGACAGGTCCGTCCCAGAGCTTGCGGTGGGTCTCACGGCGGTGAGGGCGGTACTCAGTCCGTGCGCGCGCTGCTTGTCTGGTACCTGTCTCAGTCTGGAAAGTTATTTCACGTTTGTAAAGGTATGTGTCGATCCCACGGAAACGTCCAGTGGCATTTATCCAAGGATCTACCCTGTAACCAGCTTTCGCCAGGACGCCGAAAGTGAATGGGAATGAGAGGTGACTGCGTTCCCTGGAGCTCAACCAGGCGGGGCTGTGATGAGATGCCCGAAGCCACGACAGAACGGTTGATGTAACTAGCGAATGGGCAAATTCTATATAAACGAGCTTTGACTATGGGTGCCGTGGGCAATCATAAAAAAAAAAAAAAAGAAAAAAAGCCAAGATGGGCATAAGTGGCTGCAAGGAAGAAAAAAAAAAAAAAAGGACTGAAGCTAGATCCTCTTATCTAGATTTAAAACCAGTCATCCCAGCTTCACTCTTATTACTAACTTACCCTTTGGGCAGTATTTTGTCCTCGGTGCCTCAGTCTTGTTATATGTAAAATGGGGGTGGTGCTTACAGGGTTATTGTGAAGATTAAGTGAATTAACACATATAAAGTACTTAGAACAGCAAATGCCTACTAAATGTTAACTATTACTACTTTTCCCTAAATTATTTCACTTCCTTGAGACTGTTAAGGTAGCTAGTGGCTCCATTTGACCAAGTGCAGTAATTGAGGCCCAGAGAAATTAGGCATGTTAAAGAAAAAACCATGGGCCCAAAACAGCATCACTTGTACTAAAGCCACAGATAACTGAATCTAGATCTAATACCTGACCTAAGTGCTGTCTCAGCCTTCCCCTGTCTCAGCCTTCCCCAGAAACGTAGTCTTTATAGGCTTATCTGAAGTTTTCTGGTCCGCACCAGCGAGGTAATTCTCTCCTGGGCCCTCTCCACTCCAGCCTCCACCCCAAACTCCCCCTGAAGGAGCAATCTGCATGATAAAACCCTTGCCACTTCCTTCCTCCCTGAAAGAAGGTTTCTTGGCCTAAAAATTATCCTTTCTTTTCTTCTGCTAATAGCTCCCTTACCCCACCCTTCTTCCTGTAAGAAGCTTCTGAAATGGCAATCCACTCCAGTACTCTTGTCTAGAAAATCCCATGGGTGGAGGAGCCTGATGGGCTACACAACTGAGCTACTTCACTTTCTTTGTATTTTGTAGTGCCCTTCTGTTTACTAGATGGGATGTTACCCATGTAGTTTAATAATGCCAATTAGATCTTCAAATTTAGTGGGTTGGATTTTGGTTTTTAACAGGCAGATTGCATTCCTTCACATATCCAAAACATTCCAAAATGTCATCCAAAATATTTTACTATTAACAATGACTGTAGGAGTATTTCTGCACACCCTTGTAATCATTCGTTATTAATCTGTCCTCTGAAACTCTTGTCAGTTGGGGATAGGTGAAAAAATGTCATGGTTACATTTATTTCTTAATGAGGATGATCATCAGTTTTTCACATGTACAAATGTGTGTTTTCCTCTTCTGTGAGGTGATCTGTGCATATCCTTCACCTATTTTTTTGGATGGAGTATTCATCTTGTAGGATTTTTAGGCAAGGATAGTCTGATCAGATTGATGTTTAAGAAAGAAAATAAGGACAGTGTGGAGTAGGGATTGATTAGAATGGTGGAGAGTAGTCAGGAGATTACTGTAGTAATTTTGTAGAAATGAGGAAGACTTACTTAACTCAGAGTCACAGTGGAGGAAAGAGAAGGCAATGCATTCAGGAGAGAGGTACCAGACAGAACTGACCAAAAGGGAAGGACATGTTGCATGTGGAAAGGAACAGGAGGTCAGTAGGCTGGTGTTGCTGTAGGAGGTAGATGGGCTCCAGGTTAGGCATTTACAACTGGCCTCCTGTTTACATTTCATGGGGCATGAAGAAGTGGGCTCCAAGCTGGATACTTAAAACTTAGCATTTCTTGAGCCGAGAGATGGGTGGGCTCCAGCTAAGGCATTTACAGTCAGCCTTCTGTTTGCCCTCCGAAATGGAAGTGACAACAGAAACAGGGTAAAGAGCCAGTGTTGGTCTCTTACAAATAACTTAAGGTAACAGTCATGGCAAGGACCCAGAGGGGTGAAGCCGTAAAGAATTAAGGGATCTCCACTCCCCCCTCTTTTTGGACAAGGGAGACACTATACTTTTGTAGAAAGGCTCCTTGTGGATCTAAAGTCAAGAGATACTGCCAGGCCGTAATGAACCTTGCTCCTCTCAGAAGCCTGCACTTTGAGATCCATGAGGGGTGCATGTGTACCCAGGGGAGGGTCCCAGGTAGGTCAGGTGTGGGAAGAGAAAGCAGATGATTGCCCAGAAGGAAGACAAAGGCTCGGCAGAAATGCCTCTTTTCCGTGCCCCTCCTCACTAGGGGAGACGCCCAAACCCTTTCTCTCTGGGGGTGCGTCCCTGCCTTGCTTCTGTCTTAACTGTTGTGGGATGGGCTCGGGTTGGAAAAGAATTTCCAGACATGAGACAGAATGAGAGGGAAATAAAGTTTATTAGAGCGGGAGACCCTGTTAGAACAGCGGGCCAGCTCAAGGGAGAACCGACGTTGGTCCACTTTTATAGCCAGGGTCCAGGGAGCGGGGTGGGGGTCTTGCAGGTCATTTGCTGATTGGATGAGGCTCGTCTACTGGGTGGGGGAAGAGTAAGGCAGATACCTCCTCCCTGTGGGATGCCAGGGAGACAGGTTATACTGCTCAGGAGGACCTGAAATCCATTAACAGTTACAGCATGGGGGAGGAAAGGATGATAAGGGTCTGGTTTTTCCGTTCCTGCATTCCAGGACCCTCCTCAGTTTCTTCTGCTCCTTCGTCCTTGGGTCACCACGTTAAAACGTTTCTCTGAGTGCTGTCCAAACTTGTGCTCTGTCTCTAGTGATAAATTTGTACCTGCATTTACACTTTCAGCCTCCATAATAAATGAATTTTTCACTGGGGGCTAGGATTCCTGATCTAGCTTCATGCCCCCGCTCGCTGCTGCCTCGCCAAGATCAGTATGACTTCCATGTTTCTATTTTGCCAAAATAGAGAATGTAGGGAAAGGAATAGCTTTGGTAATGTAGGTGAAGAGCACCCCAATGGGGCATGTTAGGCTTGAGTAGCCTGTGAGAAATTCAAGTGATCCTATAGGCGTGAAGTTCAGAGAAGTCTAAGCTAAAGATCTTCTGTTTTTCACGAATTCTGTGTATACTTTCCCACATTTAAAAATCTCTGAAATAGAGATATTTCTTACATTTGATTGTATCTCATAATTATTTAGCAGTGGGTTTGTTTCTTAGCACTAAGAATAACTAAGATAGGATAATGAGGTGTATTATACTTGTAGTATCTTTGATGAAAAAGTGTTATTGGTAGTTTGTTATTGGTAGACTTTTACTTTACAAAAGTCTTTTTTTTCCCCCCCTGGACAAGTTGTACAGCATGCAAAATCCTAATTCTCTCACCAGGAATCACACCCTTGCCCCCCCTGCAGTGTAAGTGCAAAGTCCCAACCACTAGACTGCCAGGAAATTCCCTACAAAGTCTTATTAATACTACCAACTGCAAAGGAAGGTACCCAGATTTGCGTGTTGAAGGAGAGAAAGGGAAATTTAATATTCTTCCTTCTCACCCTGAAGCAGCTTGTACCAGTCATTCAGATTGTATGTAAGAAAGAACTTTTTTTAAGCTAGGCCCTCATTAAAGGCTTTGACGGATCCTCCTGAAATTAGGCCAGCAGGTATTTACCTCTTTTCCAGGTAAAATTCAGGAATTCTCTGCGTGGAGCACCTCCTGATCAGCCAGAGTTTGTTCTGCAGCTGGCTTAAATCACAGGGACTATGGTGAGGGCCAGGAGATTACTGTAACATTTCAAGGATATAACCAGTGGTTCTCAACTTTAGCCACACTAAATTTCTTCTCACTGGAATTTCTTGGGCATTTCAAAATAACATAGGTGCCTGAGTCCCACACCAGAGATCTTGCATTCATTACAGAATCTACCTAGAGCATTCCTAGGCATGTTATATTAAAAAAATTCCTAGGTGATTTTAATGTTCAGACAAAGTTGAGAACCACTACTGTAGTACAAGACTGGGGTGCCACCCAAATTATTGGCTGAGACAGAGTGAAGACTTTCTCAGAAAGTCTCAGAAATACTCCTGACCACAGTCTACGCTTATTGTCAGAGATTACAGACTTCAAAGGGAGAGCGAAGAAAGAAAAGATTTTATGGACAGTAACATTAGCACGGCTCCCAGTTCCTAAAGAAAGGTGGGATTGGCAGAGGAGAATGATCTGTGACAATCACTTGAATATATACCTCCAGCTATGGAAAAATACACATACACATACTGTTTGTAATTGCAAAATATTGGAAACCACCTAAGTCTTCATGGGCTTTCCTGATAACTCAGATGGTAAAGAATCAACCTGCAATACAGGAGACCTGGGTTTGATCCCTGGGTCGAGAAGATCCCCTGGAGAAGGGAATTGCATCCCACTCCAGTATTCTTGCCTGGAGAATCCCATGGACAGAGGAGCCTGGTGGACTACGTCCA